ACTTTTATCTTGATGTTGTAGCGAACGCGTTTGAATGGGGTTGATCTGTACAAAACTTGACAGATCAGTCCATCGCCAAGTCACTGCAGCTTACTCAGATTATTCGGGCACCATTTCCTCTTTCATCGTTACCTTAGTTTGACGTAGCGCGGACTTGAACCTAAATATGCTGTATTCAATCATTCATCTCACAATGTTCACTCCTACCACTGTGGTGCGCTTTATCATGACGATTTGTCTGTCTGTTAATGACAATTAGAAAAAGCCTAATGACTACGTAACAAAATAGACTAGAACTATTCGATCTAAGTACTGTATGTGCTTCCTATGTTTGTACTGTAGCAAAAAACATTCGATCAACTCTTTAAGGCGATGCGTTATGTTTGCGGTTTCATTTTTTACAATTTATAATGTAACAAGAGATATCATTTCGGTAAAACTGTTAGCTGCTAATTTGCAGCGATTGAACGATTAACGTTGCAACGTTTTTCCTCATATTCCTGAGTTAATCACAAAATTTAAAACTTCAGACGACTCAAACACGCATCTACAAATGTCCGTTCCTTTGTGTTACAGGTTGAAGAAATAATAAGGTTGTTAGAATATAACAATAAGGTAATCATTAATGAGTATTCGTTCCACAGATGACATCGTCTTATTATCGAAGAGAGCACCGAACATAGATGCTAAGCAAAGTGAAGGGGTTGAGACATAGGATCGGAATGCAAATGAGAATGAATATCAAGCTCAAAAGAAACCTATGGTGTAAAAGATATCAAATCAAAATTGATAGCTTATGAATATGAGAAACTTATGCGATTACTTGAGGTATTTCGTCCAAATGAAAAACAACATGAAATATAAATTATGTTGAAGAAGAGCTGGGCCTTTTCTACTCCTCGAACTGCTTATATATTGAGAGAAATTACGACAGATGGAGAAGATTGCACTAAGAAAACGAGAATGCGCAACCTCATTTGGTAAAGAAACGAGCTAGCCTATTAATTAGACATCGTATATCACAATGGCACATCTTTTGTCGGTTGTTGTTCACTCGCTTCTGATCAGACAGGATTAGCTTTGGAGTTGATCATTCCCTGCTGGATGTGCGTACGCATTCATGTTCCGCGTTTTATAGCAGCCGTGGTGGAATATGAGCCTAGTCTATACAGTGGCTCGAGTTGATCAATCTCCACCGTGAACCTCATTGGAGCCACCCACTGTGGCACATTCACCACTGGCTCACACGCAACTTCGCTTTTGATATGCTTTATTCATTTGTACACTTTTACGATGCCGATAATGCCAAAGTAAAATGAACTTTTACACAGGTTCAATGATTTTTGTTTGTTTGCACTACTGTGCATGCCTCTCAAAATGTTTCTTTATCTTCCCCTAGTGATCGTGTATTTCATCCAATAACATTTCATTAAGGCTATTCTTCGAAGGCTTATTTGGATCCTTAACAGCTCAGATGCAATTTTTCCTCAATATTCTTGTTCTTTCATATTGATCCAAAACATTCAGCCCGTTTCCGAAAATCGCCGTTAAAGTAAAAGAGCGCGAGATATTATCATCTGCATTGCGATTTATAATATGAAGCATGAGTTGTCCTACCTAAAACGCTGACCGAAAGAATCTATGTAACTGCCATACAGCATGCATATATGTATAAATTTGCATATACATAAATATACAATTTCGAGTTGGTGTTATATACAGTTCGAAGACATGCACGCATTAAATATAGTACAATTCACACGAGAAAAATGTATGTTAAGGAGAATCCAATATACAGTATGTATAATGTAATATATATAAGGAGAAAAAAACAATATTACTGTGAGTTGTGTTATCTTTAAGCAATGAGTTGCATGCAGATTTGTACGTTTGAGCAATTTATGGTCAGTCCTTTTGCTATCGACTGCGCCAACTAGCTCATTCTAATGTGATTGTGCAATGCTACATAACTTATTGCTAATTAATAAATATTTCTAGGTGATCCCCTAGCAGGCAACTTCTTTCTGTGCCAACACGAGTGATATTCTGTAGCAGAGGTACACAAATTTTTTTTCTTATTGTACTAGGGCATATTCAGTAATGTATTTGTAACGGTTAATGAAATGTTGCTCCGAGAATTTGCAAATGTTCTTAACATCTGATAATTTTTTTTAAAAAAATGTACGATGTACATTAATTTCGTAGTTAAGTAAATGCAAATCTCTTTGTACTCGTTGTTAAATAAGCAGTCAGTTTTAGCAATTGATATTTGGGCAAGAAAGAGAGGATGGACGTTGGACGGGGGTACGGCTCAGTGTTAGAGCGCTCCCTTAGTACGGGAGAGGGCCGGGGTTCGATTAACTATCTTCCCTGCGTTTTGTAGTTATCCAGTTTTTTTTTGACATCCATACATTGTACGCGTACCTTTCCAGGAAAAGATTGCAGATGTGGGATGACACATTTTCAAAGTTGGAATTTCCATAGCCTAAGATAAGACATTAGAACAATTGTATAGATCGTGTTAATCGCCCTTTCTAGTTGTCCGGTGGATCGCTAAATATGCTTGTTTCTGGACTTTGAAGCAAAACCTCAAACTTGGCGGAACAGAATTGACAATAAATCAGAATACTTTTGTGCATTACTAGTGACACAGACATCTTATATCACTAACATTTGATAGCAAAGATGAAAAAACGTTGATAATAATTCGATGTCATAATTCTGTCCGTCTTAACCACATGAGCAAAACCTTACAATGCAAAAAAACCTATAAATGTTCTTCCGTAAACACGCTGAACCATATCATTTCACATAATAACCATCAAGGATGAACTCGTAGAGTAAAAAAGTTGTTAGCGAATTGTATACGTTGTGTTCATCGACTCTGGTTGTTCAGCATCGTATGACTGTGAACAAACTACTTCAATTAATGAAAACTACAATGACTAGTGGACGCAAAACAAATGACCATAACCTTTACCACAAATATTAAACAGGATTGAGACTCAATTTCGGAACTTCTTTCTCATTTTCTATCCCAGAACATGCTTCATGACCGACAACCACAAACCCACTACATAACTTGCTCTATTTTAGGCCAACAGGACCTGTAATAAATCCCCATTTCTAAAAACAACTACATGCAGGACAATCGCTGTATTCGAAGTACCCGTATATCTTAGACCAAAAATTCTATATGCTACAACAGGATATTAACGTAATAATCTCTTCAAAAGCCCAATGTAGCTGATTAGAAGCCAATTTGCGAACAACAGCAGTCATGCCCGACCAGAATCTGAATGATTTAATCGTAATCTTTTGGTAACCTTTTTCGTCCGTTCTCCACGTCAACAATTTTTCAAAAAGTATGTTAATGTGCCTATGAGTAAACAAGGTCAGTATGTACTCTCATAACTACCAATATTCTTCAACGTTTAGAACAAAACTATTACGAAAAACGCGATAACACATATGAAAAAGGAATGGCAAAACGGAGGAAATGCAGTAGGATAACTTAATTGGTAAGGAATTTCGGATTACGAAATAGACTTCGCCTGTCTGGGCCTCCATCTGAAGAAGTAAGCAACACCATGCACAACATGTAAAAGCAAATAAAGGGGATGTATAATATGTGAAGAACGATCGACGTATGAATCTGATTACCAAGATAAAACACAGTCGTATTCATTATGGTCAATAGGAAAGTTCTGTCCGTTTTTAGAATAAAACAAAACACAAATCTTCCTTACCGTCAATAATCTCTACTAAATAATACAATTGCCAAATAAATAACGGTTTCTTGAAAGCGTGATGGCTCCTCATTTTTTAAGGATATGGTGGATACGACATAATTTTGCATCCTAGTTCTGCAATTTTTTAAAGTCTCCAAGCAGAATGTGACCTGGCATTATTATGATGAAGTATGTCGTCTGTTCTACTGAACATTGCCGGCTTCTTTTCTTCAACTGCTGTCTCTAAATTATCCAGTTGTTAACAATACTTCTCCAAATTGAGTTTGCCGCCCAGTTTCAGTAAATCACGATGTATTGGACCTCGAATGTCCCATCATATACACGACATTCTCTTATTTAAAGTCAAATTTTGTTTAAAGATTGTGAAGCTAAGTTCTTCGGAAGAACAATATGCCATTTTCTTTGAGACGTTTTCGAAGGCAATTCACTTTTTACCTTCAGTTCAGTTCAGTTCAAGAAGGGCTTTTATTCTATTTCAAACAATGTGCATCAGACGCTTCGGTCATCCAAATTCTTTTCACTTTATTCACGTGAGACTCAGATAATCCTCACGATAACCACATCTTCCTAATATGGTCTTAAATGTTTGCTGAGCATAAAATATGCATCCCTGCAATCGCGTTTTTAACAAAGAACGATTCGGCCTTAATATTATATTAACAACATCGTCAACGACAAAGATGGTCGCCAAGATAGCTTATCAAGAAGCTTAAAAGCATCTGTTCCAAAATTCTCGAACAATATTCTGCATGTTTTATTCTCATAAAAGAAATATTTCACCTTTCAATATATTTCTACATGCCTCTGTTGCATCTCATCTTTTAAATTCATATGAAATACAGTGGGGTGAACGAGTTTTATCACTACCTATGGCATACCATCGCTTCACGCTTAAAACTAATCTGAGTGCATCTTATTTTAGTAAATTTGCTACATCAGTATTTATACATTGAGCGATGAAAATAGAGATTTGCACACCGTCAAATAAACAAGTGCATGAAAGTGGAAAATTGTAGTCATTTGAACGGACAGCACTTCGCAGTATATCTGATACCAATACAGAAATGAGAGATTGTGACTAGTGCATACGATAGTAGAGTTGATACTTCATGATTCCATAAATGTATGATTTAGAAACAAATATGACACACTAAAAAAAAGTAGAGTACTGGATCAATAATATCTGAATCTCGGATAATAATGGTCGGTCGTACTAAATAATCCTGCACAATTCTATAAAATACACACCAAATTCGAATTTTCTGTTTTGTTAAACACACGGCGTCTTTACATGTATGCTATGTTTCAAAAATCTTCCACAAATGTTAGGTAAAATGTTATTTGCGAGACATGAACCCATAATTAGTGATAAGAAACTAGCAAACAATAAACCGCTACAATGTAAATTGTAAACAAGCATATTAGCGGTAAATAACATATATTAGCCATGATTATAATATCTACAAACAAGATTTTCTATAAGCAAGTAACAGTGAAAGGTGAATTGAATGTAATCAATATTAGCGGGATTATGCCATGAATGCATTGTGCAAAGCAACCACTATCTACGAATTACACCGAAATTAGTAGATACAGAACATCAAATTGTTCCACTTGAGTATGTGACAACCAATATAGATATTTCATATGCACTTGCCAATTATTCAATTTCCACAAATATTAAAGACTAAAACACGTCAAAATTAAATAAAATGTCTATACATATAAAGTACCACAAAAATCACTTCTTGCGATAATTCATTTACTCCCTTATACTATAGTATGACCCGTAGAAACGACAAGTGTCCTATGATTGTATCCGCTCCGACTCTTCACCTCCAAGTTCATGATCAGCACAAGCACCACCGACACACGACTCAGATGAACCAATATAGAACTTAAAATACAGGTACAAAAATTTAAAAAATGAACATCGCCTCAACTGCATAATCTACCCTCATTTGGGAATATCAGAAAGAATATTTACACTTTAACAGCACAACCTGCTAAACATTCCAGGATGAATAAAACAATTTCCTACAAAAAAAAGCAAATTTAGACCTTTAAAGTATTTTCAGTATATCGTGCGATATACCGTATAAACGGGCGAAGATCGCCTAAGTTCGCTGTATGTAGGGTTGCATAGTACTCGGCTCGTGATTCGACCGGTAAAATCACTGGTGGAAAACCTGCTCGCATCAAAATCAAGTTAAGTAAAAGACGAGCTGTTCTTCCATTTCCATCCACAAATGGATGTATGACTACCTAAATTTACAGGATAAAACGATAATTAAGAGAATGGAAAACGGCGAAGCAAAAATATTCAAAATGAGAATAGAAAAGAAAAATAATGGAACAAATACATACAAGTTTGTAATGCGCAATAGCAGCTTTTTCAATTGGACTCATTTCCAGCGTTGATGGATCATTTAGCCAACTTATGAGCTCTTCTAACTGTTCCTTTACATATTCAGGGGCTATAGGTGTGAACCGTCCAACAAATACCTATAAATCGTGAAAACCTGACCACTGTGCTATACAACATTAAATGTTATTAGGGAGAACTTGTGTGGTTCGTATGCGTCCAGCATCAATTGGATTGGCATTTCCTAGCACTCTCCTGTGCATTTCTAGGATGTCCTAAAGCGAAATGTTTGAGAAATTGACGGTCTCATCTATTTTTTACCAACATTCGTTGAACATCTCAAGCACAATGGCATAAATATTGAAACGACCAGAAAGTAAGCACAATCTTTTTTTTGTTGGTGAAAAATACTTCTCGAAAATATCTCAAATACTAGCTAAAAAAATAATTTTTATCGCTTTCTAATACATTTCCAGCGTAAAGGCTTTTGTTATGTAGTTGTTCGGTTTCCTTGTTTGAAAATACATTATAGCTTCTCATTGAAAAAATTTTCCAATTGCGTTATAACTTCTTCAACATTTTCAAAAATTTTTATATCTTAATTCAAGCTCTAACGATCAAAAAATTTAGTAATCCGACGGTGCAAGATAAAGTTAACAGTGTGAATGAGGTGAAAAATCAAATTCAAACTCTCATAATTTTTAATGTTATCTTTGCAGCACGAGGCCTTGTGTTACCGAAAGGTCGGAATATGTTCTTCTCCAAAAAAATATTATTTTTCCCTACAGAGTTATTGTGTAACATCATCACAAAAACCAATCGGATCCATGGAACATGAATTCCTTGTTTGTACAATTTTTTTAAGTGAAGAAGTTGATACTAACCGTAAACTATGGTCAACCAATCTTCAAGGACAAATCCTAAATTATTTGCGAGGTATCGACGCGAACAAACCGTGAAAGGGCTTATTGCGGAAAACTATTATTTTGGTCAATCGAATAATATTCAAAACTAATATTTATGCAGAAAATGAATATGCATTAATACACGCAATTGCATATAAATAGTGCATATATATATATATGTATATATATATATATATATATGTATATATATATATATATATCTATATATATAATATACATAGTTACGAAACGGTAAGGTTAGTATTAACTAACCT